TTCGTGCGCCGTTTTTGCTTGCTGTCTTTCGGCTGCCCATTTGGATGAAGAATAGAAGAAAGGTAAGTTGAAAGTGGAGTCGAACAGAAAATGGAAAAGTTCAGTGGTCTAAGGTAGCAAAGAAATTGAAAAGATACACGAACGCCACTGTTTGCGGCACTCAGCCATATCACTCAGTGTCTCTAACCATCGGTTACTATCATCCCGAGGTCCCCAGCCAGGGAGCTTAACAGGATCTNCCAGTTTCCTGGTTAGGGTTTTCATATCCTCGTGCCAGGTCTTAGCATGACCACCCGTGGCTTTCTTCCACTCGGTGTCTGCTTCGGCGAACATCGCTCGCCCTGGTAACCTGTCTGGTGACATTCGCAACACGCCCCAACCAACGTAATCTATCGAGGTCGACCACTTACTCCAGTGGACGATCGCGGATACCCAGAACTCTGCGCTTCACCTCCGCATTGTTCGTCCGGCTGCCCCACCATATTTGTGCAATGCTGCGTAGACAGCGGTGTTCAAACACCGACAGTCTATCTTTTTTATGTTTTCTCAGTGGTCAAGTTTCTGCGCCGTATAGCAGAACTGGCCGAACTGTCGCGGCATACACTCGACCCTTCACAGACAGCCGGATGTCGCGACAGCGCCCCAGATGTCTCAAGTTGGTAAATGGCAACCGAGCCTTCTATATGCGAGCAGACACTTCAACCGTGATGCGTCCACCGGGTGAGAATGAAGAGAGTGGATCTTGTGGTTACAGAAAGCTGTTGGTGGTGAGCCGTTATTGAGTTATGAATTATAATTAGGCTGCGAGAAGATGATCTGGGTAAAAAGCTGAGAGACAGTAAGGCAATAAAATAGGGTGAGCCGGTAAAAATTGGCAAGCCTTACGGACTGTAGCACGTTAGTAACGCAACTGAAACCGCACCACTACCACCAAAACCAAACGAATAGCATTAGCAATCTCGAGTATTCACAAGAATCTGGGGAAAATTAATTTACTTGACGTTTTCAATTAGTGATGAGAGGGTTATATTATTAATTGCGGATTCGGTTGGCATACTAAAAACCTGAATTTCCTTATCGTATAATCGAACAGTTGTTTCATTTTATTCTGTTCCAATTCAACATTTAGGATTGATGTTTTAGTGAGGTGGTAGGTTGCTCGGAGTTGTCTCACTCAGGATACGTTGACAAAGTAGGAACGAGTGGGTTTGTCATAGTTTTCTCGTTACATGCTGCGAACGAAACATCTGACAAGAAAAACTCTCCTGATATGGACTGCGTTCTTAGTTGCGAGAGAGGCCCTACGCTTCGGGGAAGATTCAAATTTCTATTTGATAGGAAAATCTGGGTTAGTTGAGCGATTTCATAGGACTTGGGTTCGAATCGTACCAGCAAATCAATCATCAATCATCTTCCACCGGGTGAAAAGTTCGCAAGCCGGCATTATTGGTCACCCAGTCATGGAAATATCACCTACCTTTTCAATCTATCGAGAACAGAAAACCTCTCATAACGCCTTGTATGGTAGATTATTCAGTTGAAAGTCCGGTTTCAATTAGATCCCTCGAGTCCAGAATATAATTTAACCGGATATAAGTTTCTTATCGACATTGCATTATGCATCACTACATTTCGCCAGCACCGGAAACAACACGGTACGATAATCTTCAGAACAAACAAAAAGTCTTTTCAAGACACAAAAAGGTCATCAATGAATAAGTGAAACCTACGTGTAGCTCCCCGGGGCTTGATTGTACGACGGGTGGTAAGGTGGATCGTCCGGATTGCTCGACCATTTTGGAATGATAGTTTTCAGATTACTATCCCGTAAGTGGCATCGTTTGCAAATGGCATCACCGTCCAAAGCGCTGTAACAGGGAAAAGTTTACTGATTTTGCTCACTTCTCACCATGCTGTTCTTCCACACATAATGACCAATTCACTATTAGTAATTACTTTTAGGTGGTAGTACGCGTGATCAAAGTACTTCTTGGCTGAAAAACAAAAAAGGACGTGCTGTGATAGTGCGAAACAGTCCTCGGGAATCCATAATTTTGAATAACAACTACGAAAGAGGAGAATGTGGCAATCACTACTTTATGGTGTGATGTAACCATGAAGAGTAACTCTTAAATGCTCTTGTGAACTACCGTATAGTCCACATAATGGTCGTACTTAACAAACAGAAAAAATTCCAAGAATAAAATGAAGAGAACACGGTACTAACGACAACAAAGTGTGTTATAGGTAAATGAATTCCGCGTTACCAAAAAGCAAGCTCAAAAAGAATGACTCAGATCGGATCCATCGATCTGGTACGAGTAGTGCAAGATCAACAGTACTTGCAGCTGACGCTGAAACAAAAAGCGTTATACAAACAACACGAAATCTTACAGCTGTGTTCTGTCTGAATGCAAACGAAATGCACGTCGCCAGTCTGAAGACTGAACGATTATATTGTATACTTAATGAGCACTAGAAGTAAATCAAGCAAGCATTGCAAAAGTGGATAAAAATAACACCGGACTCTGGTGCAGACTCAGAGCACCAATAATCGACAATGATGACAAATATAACGGCGCGCGGTGATGGCCGTATGGTAAATGTTACCAAATTATCTCTCCGAGGGACTTGTTCGAACCCCACCACCACTAATCTCTCTCCATTCTGTTGTATGGCAGCCCTTTGACTGGCCGCTTTCCTTTACTAAAAATTATTACCTACTTAATAGCAGGAAACTTATCACATTCGTCCGTGTCGAGATCAGAATAATGGGTTTCACTTTCAAACGAAAAGTTCGCTGAAACAACGATATTGCTTCACCCACAGAACCGAGTACGATCTTCAGGGATCGGGGGTCTCCACATATCCGTTTGGTCCCCATTCTGAAAACAGCTTTCACTCAAAGCACCTTGGTGTGATTCTCCTTGCCTAGAACGAAAAGTCTGGCCATAATTCCTCGAGACAGAGAGAGGTATGAGTTGACCCAAGCTTGGGCCGTCGGTTCTGTGAACTCAGGCATGTTGACAGCTACAAGGCACTTCTGTCGTGAGGGACGCTCCTGTCATGGGTCACCTACATCAGCCGTTCGGGTCATCTGCGCAGGCTTTATATGTTGCTTGGTTTTGGAACTGCCAACGACAAGATTTGCAGCGTTGGCTTGTGCCTAGATCCAAAGGTGGGGAAAATAGCTGAGGCAGACGGTGGTGGAATCGATGCGATGGTTGTCGGCACAGGGATTCAAATCCGTTTCGGTCACGCTGTGGTTCGTGCCGGTGGTTGGTTGCTGATCACCTACGGAACGCTTACGCCTTCGTCAATTCTTTTCTCCAGCGGTGCTCGTTGATGGTGCCTCGGTCGAAGAAGACTCCGCCGTACAGTTGACAGACCTGCTCCAATTGGATACGTTTGTCAGTGAGTCACCGGGATCGGCAGTGCAAATGTTCGGGTGACAGTGGGTGAAGCACACAATTGCGACAATCTATACATATCCGACGGGATGCTTGAACATGCGACATATAGTCAACGACAACATCATACAATCAGGCTTTCGTGCAAGTGCCGACGGACAATAAATCTGATCAACAGCCCCACCACTCTGGTCAAAAATTGCAATGATATGCTGACTACTTATAAGTACCAGAACTAGAAAGTGAAAATATGGATTATAATGAAAAACGTTAATCAACGAGATATCTCTCACTAGTGCGCTTGAAGAATGTTTCCGTATCAATTTCGATGCTTGAGAGCGAAAGGAAGTTCAATACGGAACTTCATAGAAATGGTCCCACCGCCATTCCCCAAGTAAAGGCCTTCAAAATACGCCAATAGGTCCACAAGAAGAGGTAGATTTTCGAAGAACTTGACTGCTCGAATGGATAACATTTTCTTACACTCACAACATAGAAAAACATATCCATCCATGGACACCGCTGTTTTCATCGTTTCTTAGATATTCATTTAGTGCCCACAAAAACATAATCACACTTTATGGGCAAAAACTTCTTATCTTGCAAAAACTCAATACATGTACTCCCCTCAATTTGTGACAGAAATGACCGGCTCCATGAAGAGTGTGACATACTGAGAGTACAAAAAGCAGTGAACATATGAACAAATAAAATAAATTAAATTAAGGGGAAAGACATCTACACATTGAATTTTTTGGTAAACCTGAAAGACAGCACGCCCCTCCACCTCTGGAATAAAATCGCAAATGCATAGTCAATTTCCTACTATGTCGCACACCTGAGAAGTCGCATTTTCCAATATCTTCCCACTTTCGAAAATCCAAACCAACCGTATGA